GAGAAGGACATCATGCTAGGTAAAATGGAGGGTCAGCAATAAAGAGGAAGATTCCCCCCTCCCCCGCAATGAGATGGATTGGCACAGTGACAGCAGAAGTGGGCTCAAGCTTAATGATGGTGCAGCTAGTGCAGGACCAGGCAGTGTTTCGTTCTGTTGTACGTAAGGTCACTATGAGTTGGAACCAGCTCAGTGGCACCTAACAACAACTACATGTGAAAATCATCAACATTAATGTCTTGTGAGGATGGCTTTGTAGGATGAACACTGAACTGTGAACCACAAGGTTGCCGATTTAAGCCTACCAGACTTTCCATGGGAATTTCTGCTTTTATAGAGATTTACAGCCTCAAAAAATCCTATTCAGGGTTTCTATGAGTCAAAACCGACTTGAAAGCACTTAACAACAACATGTCTATAAGTATTATAAATAATGAGTGTTGGTAAATTTGTCAGAATTACTATATACAATTTCTCCCTTGTATTCTGCGAACTGATGCTTAATGAAATTAGCACAATGTGAATTCATATACAGTATCCAGTAATTACCTCTGTCTTCTAAAAATACAGTATAAGAAATCCTGCCATATTATTGGGCCTGTTTGTAGTTATAAATACAGACATAATGGTAATAGTTATTTGGCTTGGCTTTACTTCTGGAGAGCAGTGATTATAGAATTGATACTACTAACCTTATGTAAATTATAGCTTTACTAATTCATAGTCCCTTAATTTGTAATTCATAGCATTAAATGGGGACTTGATGGACTCAAGTGTGGCAACAGTAGTGAGGTTGGCCCAGGATCAGGCAGTGTTTTGTTCTGCTGTGCATAAGGTCACTATGGGTTGGTACCGACTCAATGGCACCTAACAACAACAAGTTGAAATGTATTTTTACATTAACTATAAAAATAAAACTAGCAAAACGAGTTTATATATACCCAGTGAGAACATGAGAGAGCAAACTTAATAATGAAAAGGTCTCTCTTAAGGACTCCTGATGGCATAGTGGGTTAAGCAATGGATTTGTAACTACAATGTCAGTTTCTCTGTGGGAGAAAGATGAAGCTGTCTACTCTGGTCCTAGCATGACACTGTAGGATAAGTGTTGCACTGCAAGGTCGGTTTAAACCTTAATATTGATGGTTCAATCTCACCAGCCACCTTTTGGAAATCCTATATAGGGTCACTATGATTCGTCCTTGTGTGGCACTATGGGTTAATGCACCAGACTGCAAAGCCATTTGAACTGCAGGGTCCATGGTTTAAGCTCATTAGTGGCTCCTTGGAAAACCTGTACAGGGTCACTATAGGTTGGAAATGACTCAACAGCACTTAACAACAATGATTCGTAGTTGACTCAATGGCACTTAACAACAACAATCTATTCTCATAAAGAGGTGGAGTCTCAGAAACCCAGAAGGGACAGTTCTACTCTTGTGGGGTTGCTGTAAGTTGGAATTGATTCAATGGCAGTGGGTTTGGTTTGGTTTGATTTAAGGTCTCTGTTGGTCTAGTTCAACCAAACAGTCAAACCCACTGCCATTGATTCAAACCACTGACCTTTCAGTTAGCAGCCCAGTGCTTAACCCATTGTGTCATCAGGGCTCTGCCAGGTCTGGTTCAGTTTGTTTTTGTACTGCTTGAGCTAAGACAAATCTACAGATGAACATTTGCAATTGACTTGATAATAAGGAATACTATTTTGAACCCTAATTAACCAAATGGTGATGATGTGTGCTGTGCAGTTGAGTGGGTTCCAACTGCTAGCAACCCTGTACAGGGTTTCTAAGGCTGTAAATCTTTATGGGAGCAGAAAGCCTCATCTTTCTTCCACCGAGTGACAGGTGGGTTCACATTGCTGACCTTGAGGTTAATAGCCCAATGCAGAACCCAAAGTTGTGGTTCTTAGTTGTTGTCATCAATTTTGGCCAACAAAGCCTAAAATTTCTAGTAGTTAACTCTTTACAGAAAAAGGCCATACTGCATTTTAAAAGAATTATCTGAAGAAAATATGTGATAAAAATGTTTACACAATATTTCTGTTACCCATATTTATGAATTACGAAAGGACTAAAAAGAGAGAAACTGTATAATTTAGAAGTTAGGAATAGAGGGTTCTGAAACCAAACCAAGGTTTGTATCACAATTCTATGCTAAAACTATTTTTGTTACCTTCAGAAAGTTACTTCTTTGAGTTTTTGTCTTCATATCATTGCTTTCATCTGTTAAATGGAAATTAGTAAATTAAATTCAGAAGGCCTTAGTAGCAACATAGTTAATGTAAAGAATTTAGCATAATGTAGCTGGCACATACAAACCAAAAACCATACCCACTTCCATCAAGTCAGCCCCACTCACAGCAACCGTACATAGGTCTGGTCTTTACAGGATCAGATATTCAACTTTTTCTCATGGAGCAACTGGTTGGTTCAAACTACCAACTTTGTGATTAGCAGACCGTCACCTAACCCACAGTGCCACCAGCGCTTCTTAACTGGCATCTGTTGTTATTAGGTGCCTTCAAGTAGGTTCTGACTCATAGCAATCCTGTATAGGACTTCCAAGGCTATAAATCTTTATGGGAGCAGAAGGTCTCATAACTGGCACATGCTATTGCTGAGTGTCGTTGAGTTGGTTGTGACTCATAGTGATCCTGTATAGGGTTTCTGAAGACCAGATTGTGGGTTTTAACTAATGATCTTGTGGCTAGCAGTCCAGGGCTTATCCTATTGTGCCACACCAGGAAGGACTCCAACTGGAATATAGGGCTAATAAATGTTTGTTATTATTATGAAGAGACTTCTGGTGAGGCACTGTGGGTTAATGCTCTGGACTGCAAAGTCAGTGGTTCAAGCTCACCAGTCGCTCCTCAGAAACCTTATACAGGGTCACTGTGGGTCAGAACTGACTCAATGGCACTTAACATTATTATGAAGAAAGAAACCAAATAGTAATTATCTCTTGAGTGGTAGAATTACTGGTGATTTTTCTTCTTTTAATAGTTTGTTTGTATATCTGCATATATATATATTTCCTAACTGAACATGTATTAGTTATTTAATAAGACACTTTCATAAAATCTCTTGAACTCAGAATTTTCAAGTATTTATATTGGCTTTCTTTAAAATATAAACAGTAAACTTGAATATTTGTTATCTGCAATCTATGTTTTTCTTCCTTAAGATAATCTTTTCCTGTAGACATGGCACCTGGACATGGACATGGACATGAACATGGCCATCATAAAATGGAACTTCCGGATTATAAACAATGGAAGATAGAAGGAACACCATTAGAAACCGTTCAGGAGAGGCTGGCTGCACGTGGACTAAGGGATCCATGGGGCCGGTAAGTGGAATGGACTAATGTAGGTAGAATTTATTCTAGAGAATTTATATCTATTTCCTTTCAAACATATTCTTTAAAGAATTATGAAAAATACTTTGCACATTGAAGTTTTAAAGTTAGCTTTATGGAAGTGTCAGTTACATATAAAATTTATCTATTTAAATTACACAGTTGAATGAGTTTTGACAAATATATACAGTTATATAACCACCAACACAGTCATGATAGTTTTCTTATGCACTTTTGTAACCAATAATATCCTAACCCTAGCTACCAGAAATCATTGATCCTGTCTCTATAGTGTTACCTTTTCTAGAAATCTTATAGTGTATAGTCTTTTGTTGTGACCTCTTTTACTTAATGCTTTTGAGATTTATTCATGTTGTTCTTGTATATATAGTTCCTTGCTTTTTATTTTCCATTGTATGAAATGCCTCGTTGTATTTATTGTTCACTAGTTGATGGTCATTTGGGTTGATCCACTCTGGGACTGTTATGAGTAAAGTTGTTAAGACTATTTGATTATAATTCTTTGTGTGAACATATGTTTTCATTTCATTTGGATAAATACCTAAGAGTAAAACTTTTGGATTATATGATAAGTGAATTTTATTTAAAAATAAAAAAACTGCTGAAAGTGTCAAAACTACTTTCCAAAGTGGCTATATCATTTTGAATTCCCATCAGCATTATGAGAATTTCATTTGTTCATTATCCTCATCCACACTTGCTTGATATTATCAGTCTTTTAATTTTAGCCAATCTAGTGAATGTGGAATGTGGTTTTAATTTGTATTTCCCTAAAGACTGACGATCACTGAAAATCTTTTTGTGTACATATTTGCCATTCATACATTTTTGGTGAAATATATTTAAACCTTTTGCCCATTATCAGGGTATTTGTTTTCTTGTTATTGAATTGTAAGAATTCTTTATATTTTTTTAATGTACTTTTATCAGAAATATATTTTGTAAATATTTTCTCCCAGGCTGTCATTTTTCTTTTCATTTTTAAAGTAATGTCTTTCAAAAACAAAAATTTTAATTTTGATGCATCCCAAATGTGTGGGAATTACGGTTTTCTTTTATGATTTATGCTTTTTGTGTTTTATTGAAGCTTTATAGTTATCTTTCTTACATTTAGGTATATGATCCATTCTGAGGTAATTTTTATATTGTTGTTGTTAAGTGCCATTAAGTCAGTTCTGACTCATAGTGATGGAGTGGCTGGTGAGCTTGCACCACTGACCTTGTAGTTCAAACTGACCTTGCAGTCCAGCTTAGTAACCCACAGTACCACACCAGGAATATATAGTGTAAGGCAAAAGTGGAGGTTCATATTTTTTTCATGTGGGTGTTCTAGTGTTCTAGCACCATTTATTAAAAAACTTTCTCCCATTGAATGTCCTTGATGACTTTGCCAAAGATCAGTTGATCATATATTTGTGGTCTATTTCTGGACTCCAATTCTGTTAACCTGATCAATATGGCTGCCTTTGTGCCAATAATGTAATGTCTTCAATTCAAGTAATGTAAGACCTCCAACTTTTTCTTTTTTGCTATTCCAGCTCCTTTACTTTTACATAAAAATTTTAGAATGAGCTTATCAGTTTCTGCAAAAAGCTTGCTTGCATTTTAATTGGGATTGCAGTGAATCTATATACATCAATTTGGGGATAATTGACATCTTAACAATACTGCATCTTCCAGTCCATGAGCAGTTTTCCTCAGTTTTTTGTTTTACATACAGGTCTTGTACATATTTTGTACATAAAAAATGTACATACTAGGAAATCATAAAGTGTTTTTTCTTCTATTTCATATGTGAAACTGGGGCATGTATACTTATTTATCTAATGCCATGAAAAATAATTCTATTGTGATTATCTTAGATTGTCTTATATAGAGTTATACTTCAGTCTGTTAGAAAGATGGAAATCCAATATATTTTAATCAGTGACTGCATACAAAGTAGTGTATGATTATAATCTCCCACCCTTTTTCTCCCCTCTAGCAATGAAGCCTGGAGATACATGGGTGAATTTGCACACAATGTTTCCTTTGTTGGTGCAATATTCAAAGGATTCAAATGGGGGTTTGCTGCATTTGTGGTAGCTGCAGGAGCTGAATACTTACTGGAGTCCCAGAATAAAGATAAGAAGCATCACTGAAGCTAGTACCTGAAAATATCTTAGCGGCTTCTTAATTCTCTTGTGAAAACAAGACTTCTGTACTACAACCTACTTCTCTGGGTGTTTGTCCATTAAATAATACTAGTAAGATTTAATAAAATTAGAAAAATTATGCCAGTATCTTTTTGTCATTCCTTTAAAAAACAAAACAGTGTGTCAATGTCTCAAGCCATATCAGATTTGGGTGGGAATAAATGAAGTGCTAGGTACTACCAGCAATGCATTCTGCATAGTAGACAGCCAACATTATGTGCCTGAACAAATGGATGTGTTGTCACGTTTTTAACTGGGAGTTGGCTTTCTTCTTTTACCATCCTCTTTAGACATGTATTGTATCCAATTTTCTTTATTGTGGCATTTCTTACTCTTCCCTGAGTGTCTATTGTTCCCATGTCTTGAAGAGCAAGACTTTTTTCTTTTATGTTTTTGACAAAAAAAAATAGATATTCTCCCTTCAGCATTGAATTTTTTAATTTTAATTCTTGAATCTCTAAACTTGAGATTTGGAGTCATGGTATAGCACTGTAGGATAAGTACTGGACTGCTAACCACAAGGGTAGCAGTTCAAACCCACCAGCTGCTCCTAGGAAACCCTATACGGGGTTGCTATGAGTTGAAGTGAATCTACAATGCTTAGTAACAACGATGAAGTTGAGATTTAAAACAAAGCAGCCTTTAAAATAATAATAATATAAAAAGCTGTTGTGAATTGGGTGAAGGTTTTCCAGGTCAGTTTTTCATTTAACAATTCATACACATTGTTTGAACTCATTGACTACATCCTTACAACGTAACATCATTTATTCCACTTCCTCCCCGAGTATCCTCCTCCCATGCCTCTTCTAACCATTCTGAGTAAATGCTACCCTTTAATCTCCAGTGGTTGATTGTTCTAAAGGTACATACCTCCCTAGTGGTGGTGTTCCCCTTATACACCTGCTAGTCTTGGTGTGGCGCTGTAGGATAAGCACTGGACTGCTAACCACAATGTCAGAAGTTCAAACACTCTTTCCTCAGAAACCCTATTCAGGGTCACTATGAATTGGAACTGACTTGATGGAACTTAACAAAAACAACAAAATAGACCTGTTGGGAATGCAACTTCTTGTGGCTGATAAATATTTTTGCTTGAATAGTGAAGATAATATAAAAATCCTGGATTTCTTTTCTTTATAAAGTTCTTGGTTATAAATGTAAGCCCAAGCTGTCACTAAATACCAGGTTAAGTCCAAAAGTATCACTTCCAAATCACAGACCCCTTCAAAATGTGAAGCTATTTTTTCTTGACATATACTCACTTAGGCCAGGGGTGGGAAACCTTTTTTCTGCCAAAATTTATAACATCATTCGCAAGTCATGCAAAATGATAAACTTAAACATTAGCTTGCTATATCTGGTCAAACATTTAACAAATTCTTAATAGAAGTCGGTGGTTCAAGCTCACCAGCCTCTCCTTGAAAACACTATACAAGGTCGCTATGGGTCAGTACCTTCTCAGTGGCACTTAACAGCAATGTGATGATTGGAACCGCAGTTGGCCTGGGCAGGGCCAAACCAAATGATTTTGCATGTCTTAAACAGTCCGCAGTCCAGATGTTCCCCACCCCAGATCTAGATCTATACACTCTAATCCATTTCCAAAAAATTCTGTGCTCTTTGATTTGTACTACATCCAAATGGAAGGTTGGAAGGCACTAAAAATGTGACTTGGGAAGAGCTGCCTCCTGGAAGTTGAGTTGATGTGATGACACGAATGGTGTAAAGACCGTGGGAGAAAAGCCTGCTGGACCTTCATTTGCTGATGGGGCACAACTCAAAATGAAGAAAAACAGCTGTAAACATCCATTGAAAATCAGAACATGGAATGTGCCAAGTATGAATCTGGGAAAATTGGAAGTGGTCAAAAGTGAAATGGAACGCATAAACATCAATATCTTAGGCATTAATGAGCTGACATGGGCTGGTATTGACCATTTTGAATCTGACGACCGCATGGTTTACTATGCCAGAAATGACAAATTGAAGAGGAATGGTGTTGCATTCATTGTCAAAAAGAACATATCCAGACCAGTCATGAGTTACAACACAGTCTGTGATAGGATAATATCCATGCGCCTACAGGAAAGACCAGTTAATACCTCTATTATTCAAATTTATGTACCAACCACTAAAGGATAAAATAGAAAAATTCTACCAACTTCTTCAATCTGAAATTGATCAAACATGCAATCAAGATGTATTGATCATTACTGATGGTTGGAATGCAAAAGTTGGGCGCAAAGAGGAAAGATGGCCTTGATAGAAATGATGCTGTAGAACGCATGATAGAATTCTGCAAAATCAATGATTTATTTATTTCAAATATCTTCTGTAGACAGTATAAGAGACAACTATACACATGGACCTCACCAGATGGAATGCATAGAAACCAAAATTGACTGCATCTGGAGAAAGACGATGGTAAAGCTCCAATATCATCAGTAAAAACAAGGCCAGGGGCGGACTGGAACAGACCATCAATTCCTCACATGCAAATTTAAACTGAAGCTGAAGAAAATGAAAACAAGTCCACGGGAGGCAAACTATGACCTTGACTACATTCCACCTGAATTTAGAGATCATCTGAAGAACAGATTTGATACATTAAACACTAAAAACAGAAGACCAGAAGAGTTGTGGGATGACGTCAAGAACATCATAAATGAAGAAAGCAAAGTCATTAAGAAGTCAAGAAAGAAGGAAAAGATCAAAATGGATGTCAGAAGAGACTCTGAAATTTGCTCTCCAGCATAGAGATGCTAAAGCAAATGGAAGAAATGAGGTACAAGAGCTGAACAGAAAATTTAAAAGATCAGCTTAAGAAGATAAAGCCAAATATTACAACAACATGTGCAAAGATCTAGAAACAGAACACCAAAAAGGAAGAACACACTCAGCATTTCCCAAGCTGGGGAAACTGAAGAAAAAATTCAAACCTCAACTTAAGTTATTGAAAGATTTTTCTGGGCAAATTATTGAATGATGCAGAAAGCATCAAGAGAAGATAGAAGGAATACACAGAGTCACTGTACCAAAAAGGAAATGGTTAATGTTCAACCGTTTTAAGAGGTAACATATGATCAAGAGCCAATGACACTGAAGGAGGAAGTCCAAGGTGCATTGAAGGAATTGGCAAAGAACAAGGCACCAGGAATTGATGGAATAAAAATTGAAATCTTTCAAGAAAGTGAGGTAGCACAGAAGGCACTAACTCATCTCTGCCAAGAAATTTGGAAGACAACTATCTGGCCGACTGATTGAAAGAGATCCATATTTGTGCCCATTCCAAAGAGAGGTGACACAATGGAATGTGGCAATCTAGGGACAATCTCTTTGATATCCCATGCGAGTAAAGTTTTACTAAAAGTAATACAGAAATGGCTGCAAGCATACATTGACAGAGAACATTCAGAAGTTCAAGCTGATTCAGAAGAGGCCATGGAACGTGGGATATCATTGTTGATGTCCGATGGATCTTGGCTGAAAGCAGAGATTATCAGAACGATGTTTACCTGTGCTTTATTGACTACGCAAAGGCTTTCATTGTGTGAATCATGACAAGCTATGGGCAACATTGTGAAGTATGAGTATTCTGGAACACTTAATTGTTCTCATGAGGAATCTGTACCTGGACCAAGAGGCAGTTGTTCAAACAGATCATGGGAACACTGAATGGTTTAAAATTTACAAAGGTGTGTGGAAAAAGGTTGTATTCTTTTACCATATTTATTCAACCTGTATGCTGAGCAAATAATCTGAGAAGCTGGGTTCTATGAAGAAAAACGTGGTATCAGGATTGGAGGAAGGCTCATTAACAACCTGTGATATGCAGATGATACAACCTTGCTTGCTGAAAGTGAAAAGGACTTAAAACATTTACTGATGAAGATCAAAGAGCACAGCCTTCTATATGGATTACATCTCATTGTAAAGAAAACAAAAATCCTCACCTCTGGACCAATAACCAACATTCTTATCAATGGAGAAAAGATTGAAGTTGTCAAGGACTTCATTCTTCTTGGATCAACTATCAACACTCACGGATGCAGCAGTCAAGAAGTCAAATGACATATTGCATTAGGCAAATCTGCTGCATGAGCCCTTTTGAATGTGTTGAAGAGCAAAGATGTCAGCTTGAGGACTAAGGTGTGCCTGACTCAAGCCTTGGTATTTTCAGTAACCTCATATGCATGTGAAAGCTGGACAGTGAATAAGGAGGACCGTAGAATAATTGATGCTTTTGGGTTATGGTGTTGGAGAAGAATATTGAAAGTGCATGGGCTGCTAAAAGAACCAATAGATCTGTTTTGAAAGAAGTGTAGCCAGAGTGCTCCTTGGAGGCCAAGTTGGCCACACTTGGTCTTTCATACTTCTGACATACTGTCAAGAGAGAGCAGTTGGAGAAGGACATCATGTTTGGTAAGATGGAGTATCAGAGAAAAAGAGGAAGACCCCTATGAGATGGATTGGCCAAGTGGCAGCATCGATGGACTGAAACGTGGCAACTGTAGTGAGGGTGGCCCAGGATCAGGCAGTGTTTCCTTCTGCTGTGCATAAGGTTGCTATGAGTCTGTACTGACTTGATGGCACCTAACAACAACAACAGCATCCAAACATTTGGGAATCCTTGAGAAACTTAAATGATGTTACATTTCACTGTTGTTTGGGTTTAGGGGAACAGAAAGAAATGTGGAGGGGCAAAGTCAGAACTGTAGGGTGGATAGGATAAGGTTTCTAACAAAATTCTTGTAGAACAATCCTTGCTATCCTCAAAGGCTGAGCAGGTGCACTGTCATGATGGGGAAATATTCCTCAATTCAACTTTCTTTTTTTTTTTTTTAATGTTTTATTGTGAATTATGTGGTTGTTTACATGGGAAAACATTAGTTTTACATTCATCTTACCATATATCATTTTATTGCCATGGTTACAATCCCCTC